GGGACCGTGGCTGTTGCAAGAAGGGGGGCTGCGCGCGTGACGCCGTATGTTTTTCTTCAGTAGAAAACTTCTTAGGTCTGCTTTACTCAATTTAATTTATCTCAATAATTCTGTACCGCTACACTATATATAGCAAACTAGTGGAACCCGGCAAACGCTGTCCTATTCTTGTCCTTCCATCTCCATTTCTCTCTCTGCCTCTGTCTCTCTCTGTGTTTGACGATCTTTTTGTCCCTGTCTCCATCTCTCTCTGTCTATCTTCGTCTGTCTGTCGCTGTATTACTATGTTCTCTGTCCCTGCGTCTGTGTTTCTATCTGTTTCTCTTTGTCTCTCGGCCCGCCTGTCCTATCCTCCTCTGCCTCACCCTGCGTCACACAGCAACGCCGGGCAACAATGAACCCTTGTGGAGCTCAGTTTGAATAGAAATTGAAAAAATTACGTGCAATCTTGTGCTGCAGCGCCATTTATTAGAGTTACAACAAAATTATCAGCACAAAACCTGTGTGAAAAAAACATGTAGATGTGCCTTCTTTCATGGAGATCGGGCATACGGTTCTACCGCATCGCTCTGCTGGCCTTTGGCGGATTACATATTAGGATTATATATCTTAGCGACAGGCGACAAATAATGATCGTGGTGCATCTATCAGCATTTTATTTAAATTATTTATCCGCGTGTGTTGTATTAATCTTTACCAAACTTTGCAAGGACACTGCGTCAAATTCTGAAGAAGAGTCTGTAAATATTTCGTATCTACTTATACACTCCTTTTGTGGAATCGATGTCGATTACATGTTGTTGAATTAACTTTTATTAGTATATATTACTTTCACTGACACATTGTGTAGTCAGCCTGTGTTTTTTGTGTCCTTGACACCGAAAAATTGTGTGTCGGCGAAATGCCTGTGTCTGTGTTCAAAGCTATAGCCAGAACCATTCAGCCGATTGTCTCAAAAATGGATATTTCTCTATCAATAAAAAATAAAAAGCTTGAGGTTCTCTCAGTTTGAAACACATACTTTGATGTTGGGGCGTATTTTTTAAGAAGCTCCAACATTTTGAAAATTGTCTTTGGTTTGTATGGTTCTGGCATTGATCTCCAGTGGGTACTCGAGCTTTTGTGTTAGTTCTTTATTGAGACAATTAATGGTAAAATATTTCATTCAAAATAAAAACGAACAAGGCGTCGAAAACACGGTAATTGCACTTGTGCGGTTTGCAACAAGTACTATTGAGTCATTCCACGTCAAATCGCACACTCACAAAACACAATTATTTTTTAGCGACTTGAAACTTTTTTAGTGTGGTCTAGGATTTTTTCTTTTTTTCTAATTCCCCACTTTCAGAAATATTACCAATTATTTTTATCCGAAAAGTCATGCGCGCGCTAATGTTTAATATTTTTTGCGGAAATACCGTTTCCTTCATAAAAATAAAATTCCATTTAAATGAAATTTAAAAAAATGTTCTTTAACGTGATGTAAAAATAAATTTTTAAAACATATTATTTAAATATTTAAAATATATTTTAATTTTTAAAATGCAAATTTTTAGATTAGGTCGACACTTAAATTAATTGTAAAAATTATTCTTATATTTCTACACTAATGTTAAATTGATCTGCCAATTTTCAAAGTGGGGCAGATACATAAGTATTATTTAAAAAAAAAAGGTTGTTCTCCGGAGGACATAGACAGCTTCGCTGCTTGAACTACGGGGCGATAATGACACGAGGCATCGTGAAGTCCAACAAAGCCACAATGAGACTCATGATATGAATCATAGAAATGCACATACAGTCTCAACTGGAAGTCTTCTAACAATATAAGACTATTAAGTTTATTTATAAACAACTGACACTACTAGGGACTACCTAAAACAGAGCAGCCTTCTTTCTCAGATATACTGAGTTAGTTGTGTAATCAGAGGAATCCTTAAAACATATGCGTTGTTCTGTTAAGTTATTAACCACAGATAGTCTTACAATAATATCAAGACTATTGTTATTTACATTTTCTTAATATGAAAATCTAAGTGCAGAAGACGTGTACGTTTAACAACCAGCATTTTTGAGAAGTTGAAAATTGACTGGTTGACGTCAAAAGAGCTATATGTATTGGAAATACAGTCTTTCAAAATTCTCGTGACGAGTAAAGTTATTTTTTTTAATAAAGTGATTATTGACCTTACTTGTTAATGCCACAAATGTTTGGCAGAGATATAATGAATAAATATGCACTGTTGGCACTGGTCACCCAAACCTATCATCTTATATGAGTAATGAAGAATCTGAGCGAGTTGGTTCGTCTTTTGTTTCTTGTGCTGTCTTGGCTCGTCGTTTGCCGTCTTCATGAGACAAAAATTAAATTTCGCGCTACAAGTTTGCATTGTGATTCACTGTGATTTTCCAGTTGTCCAGTGTGATTTATTTAGAAAATTATTCTTTCGTACTTGAAAATGTTACTACGAAACTGATGTGAATTAATGTCTTACCTACTCTGCATCCTTTTGTGCTCTACTTTAGATAAAGCATTTAAAATAAAAATTAAATTCTGTTTCTGGATGCCTGAAACATGACATGAGTTCAATTCACCCTTTGCAGTATAAACTCATAACTCGTCTCAAGTAAGATTATGGCATTGCTTCCTTGACGTTAGATGAATATTGTCTGCTAGAAACACGTATTAAACAGCTCACTGCTTCACACCGAGGAATTAGGTTAATTCACCAAGTAAAAGTTTATCAGGTTTAAGAGTAACACATTTTATTATATATACAATGTAGGCTGTACAATGTAGACATCCAATGTAGACATTTTATTATAATTACATGATCTTCATACATAACCTTCTTTCATTGATTCCTTAATTAATTCCCCACACGTTTTAAAAATACAGATCGTTTTCATAATTCATAATAACAATAAGTGATTAGTAACAAGATATAAATTAAATATACAGGAACTGAAGAAAAGAGTTATAAATAGGAACCTGGTGTACGCCCAGCAAATATATACAAACTAAAATTCTATTAGATTACAATCTGAGTCCATTTTTCTTTAAATTTTAGTTAACATTAACGCTAACCAATGTGGGACGGTATCTCCTTGGCTTGTCAACAGAGCTCATGGCAAATGGAGGAACATGAATGTGAGGTTTGACAGGCATACGTTGCCCTGCTAAGTCTATATGATAAGTGGCACTTCGGTCCATGATGAAATCATTTGTGACAATGAGTCTCTCAGAAGGTCTTGAAGCTTTACTCAAACCTGGATGGTGGATGAAACCCAAACAGATAAGCTTCTCCAGTGTGAATCCATACCTGTAAAAGAGAAGGTACCACATGAACAACTAATCTATATAAAGAGATAATATTAAGACAGGCAACAAATTTTAACTTTTTCATTGAGTTGGGGATGTCCCTATGTGAGTATGATTACTTTTGTCATTAAGGTAATATGTTCGTTAGATTAACCACGGTAATTTACCCCAAACCCCAAAAAGTAATTTAAATGAAAGCAAAAGCTCTTCTCTTTGAGATGAGAAAAAAAGGGTCCTCACCGGCCTAATTTTTGAATAAAAGAAGATTAAATTAACACTGGCTCTTATGGAAAAACGTTCGCGTGCATATGTTTTTTTAGGTTACAGAAGAAGTTATACGGTGAATGTACTTTTTTCATTTAATCAATACATAGTAATTTTTTTTTATAAATCGGATTGTATTAAACGTACCATACCGCCTTCTGAGGAGTAATTGATAAAAATCTGCTGCAAAATTCATCGTAACCGGAAGTACTGGCTGTCAGCCTAGGAGAGAACTATAGAACTATTCTCTCTAGAAGGCACAAACCATTCCAACGTATTCGGCGGATTCGATCAATTTTCGGCCCTTTTCTTCTCATTAGCCCCTGACCGGTAGTTCTACCAACAGGTCTCCAGACATGTGTGACAGTGAAGTGTATGTAAGTGTTAGTGCATTTAATGGATGAGGATAAGACAAGGAATACAAAGAAAAGATCGTGTACGGTCTGTGGCTCGTTAAGTACGGTACTGCTCTGGCATTTGTCTAGTTTTAATCGAAGAAACCACGAAAAACTACCGATCAGAGCAGAAAGCTGCTAAAATTCTCCTCCAGGCAGCAACAGAACTTGACCCAGCAATCTGGCTAGTGTCGAAAATTCTGTCACTTGTAAAACTTGAGCCTCTCGTCATTCCGGTCAGAGCCACTGCAGTGATATCAGCTGATGCTCTAAGCCACCTCTCCCGGTAAGATAGATAAAGAATCAAGTATCTTAAGACGATGCAGAAGGTGCGTGAAGCAGGGCATGAAGCCATGACCGGAGATTCCCCAATGCTTAGAGCCCGATGAGGGACAGCATCCTGCCATTGCATCTGATTTGTCATATGATAATGAGAGAGTGGTGATAATTAAGAATGTAATATACATTCATACACAGAAACAAGAACTAGTTAGAAGAATAGGTTGTCTTAGACTCAATGGTCAGAGCAACTGGCAATTCACTAGAAGATCCATTCAAATATTTACTCATTAGAAAAGAGGAACAAATTAGGCTTCAAAAGTTCTTTACCCAGCTGTAGTAACGGTTCCCACAAATTCGCCATTCCTATAAAGTGGCTCTCCTCCCCATGGCCAGATGTGATGATCAGGATCAGTCTCATCAAGAGTGAAATACACCAGGCGTTTGGTGACACCTTGTTCTTTTTGGCGCTTGAGGGCAAACTTGCCAATGAAGTATTCTTTGTCAAGTTTTACACGGAAACCTCCACCAGCTTCAAAGGGTGTTGTAAGACTGGTGAGTTCTTCACCCCACAGTGGAATGAAGCGCTCGATTCTCATAAACCGCTGTGTGAGGCAGCCCACATCACGAGCTCCAAAATCATGTCCCACCTATAAAAACAAATTGGTAACATTACAATAACTGTGTATAAACAATATCAATACATTAAGAGTTATAATTTTGTAATAAGTTTTTAGAGCTTATTCTCTCCATTAAGCATACATTCTTATACAATTTTGCAGGAAAAACATTAAATAATTATTTGCACAAAATGTAATGACAAACAATTTTGCAGTCTGAATATCATGGGGATATTTTTTCACATTATTACAAAATTTAAATTTCACAAAATTATTTTTTGACATTTGTTTTTGATGTAATGTTTTAAAAAATAATTTAGTAATATCCATAAGCTCCCCTAAACCTATTTTCTTGGCATTATGTAGGTAAATAAGTGAAATATCAAAACTGAACTGCAGTTCACTTACTGTCATTAGGCGGTCATATACATGCAGTGCATACTCTGAGGGTATGTAAAGACAGTAGCCAGGCTCCCCAGTGTGAGTGAAAGACATCACCATGACATCTGATGCATAGCCCACGTTAACTTTCTTGTAAGTAAATGGTAACAGTTTCATGTCAGAATTGGAGAGTTCTGCCATAAGTTCCTGGGATTTGGGGCCCACTACATTGATTACAGTGTACATCGATGTCATATCATTAATGCTAACAGACATATCGGTAGGCAAGTGACGACGCATCCATTCAAATATTCGTGTCTGTTGACTCGTAGGAGATACCATGAAGTAGCTGTAACAGAAATTTGAAGTGTTTGACATGTAAACTCTTATACACATCCTGATATAAATATTCAAGAATAAGTATTATTATATTTTTTAATTTGTTGGGTCTTTGTTGACGCTAACCATCTCTAAACCTTTGTTGAGTGCCTGGAGTAATCCTCCGTTAAGTTTCTTTTTTGGTCAAGTCTCGTCACGGCGCAGTCAGTCAGTGCCTTTTATCCCTTCGGTCACGGTGCCGTTAGTAACAATGGTTCACAGACGGTCTACCCGCCTAGGAATTCGAGGTGTTTCAAATTTTTAAAAATTTCGTGACTTCACGGAGCGTAGTTAAGCATTTTGGCCAACGACGCCGGCTTTTCATACAACAGCTTTCAGAACAAGTATCACAAACTTCTAGGACGTGTAGAAGAGGTCACTTTTTACAAACAAATACATAGTGGGAAATTGCATAACCAAGTTATATTCGTTTAATTTGTGGCATTTGCCCTTGCTTTTTAAGCAACTCTTTCTCCACATATATTCAGGTGGTACTGAAACGTTTGCTTTACGTAACTCCACATTGGGCACACCATTTGTAACGTTATCTATAAGTTTGAAACTATCCTGACTTCTAAACATTATAATTTCCTCTACGAAATTTAATTTTGCAACAATTCCTGTTGATGCCCGATTAGTTAAATACTTTCGTTCTTGAACTCCATACGTGATACATCGACACATCTAGTACAGTCGAACACAGCTCAAAATCAGACTGCTGCTGAAACGAACCTGGAATTACCTTGACTCGCGTCAGAACGTGTCCTGCCGAACATCTGTGCACACCGGGTTGCCTGAACATCAGGGGCAATTGCTACGTATACCAATTTATATAACTCCGTTAAACAAAACTTCGCCCTGCACATCCTCTAGAAGTTTGCAATTTATTTTGAAACACCTGTATGATTGATAACTGTGTTAATATAAATTCTAGCCACAATTACATCTAGGTATTAATAATTGTCAATCCTCCGTAATTTGCATCTTCATGTCCACTAAAAAATTGTTAAAATACAGCAGTCAATAAATAAACAGAAACTGTTTTCCACACCTTTTTCTGTTTCATCCAGTAACATTTTATATTCTGTTTCAATTATCTGCACAATGTATGCAACGGAACTAACGATTAAAATCATATATTATTGTGTCTCACAGAAGCAGATGTACACATACCAATTGTGAGCCTGACGTACAAGCATGCAGTCGTTTTCATAGCCACCTCGCTCATTCTGCATGCCTGTGTGCACAATGCCTCCCACTGGAATGTTGACATCATTAGAGCACACTCGTTGTAGGTAGTCCACCACTTCTGCAGCTGCAGACTGTAAGTAAACAAACAAACAAACAAAAATAAAGCACAGAGTTTTTGTTTCAAGTTAATTTTACAATATTAAAAGGAGAAAAACTGAATTTTAGACAGCATTTTGAATCCATTTCCTAACATCTTTTCAGCTCTTAGTATCTTCTCTCATGTTTATTAAAAAGTGTCATACTTGAACTATTTGATGATACTTAACTCAAAAATTTTTTTTCCTCAGGTAACGTAAATTTCCACTTCCAGTCAACGAAAATATCATAATTCTTTTGATTCTTACATTTGATAAAAAAGTTGTGAGAATGAAAATTGAAGACAAAATCAGTCTTTGCAAAACTTAAAAAAAGAACATATTCTTAGACTAAACCATTCTCATTTTATTACAAAAACTCTAGATATTTACTTTAGGGCTGATAAGGGGAAGTTTAACACTCTCCGATTGAGCTGGAATTTTGAGGATATAATTTTTACACGAATTGCAACTATTTAGGAGTTTTCGTGGAAGAAATTTTCGAAGTCAATTTTTTGCGACCATCCTAATGGAAAGAGATGATCATATCATAGTGGGAGATGATAATTTGTTAAGATAGTAACCGCTTTAATGGAGACACGCGAAGAAACAAAACATAGAGGATAGTTAACTTGGATCTCAGAATGACATCTGTTCTTTCTGACATCTTTGAATATAATGATATTTTGAGTTGTACGAACTCTCTATTCTAAAATCAACTACATATTAAAACAGTTTTCAAACTAGACTTGACGAAAAACATCAATGAACAACATTTACTTCATTATACATTTTGCGTATCATTATTAGGTATATCCAAACTTTCAAAATTCTGTCCAGTAAAAATTTCTATACGTCGTGTGCAGTTGCTGGGGTACCACAATCTGCCCCATTCACAAGCTGTGAGATCGGAGAAGGAAAGGAGAGTACGTCTGGCTGGATCAGAACCCTTGGAAGACACCTGAGAGACATCTGTATATTTTGGAGGTATTTCAAGTAAGAAAAATCACACGTTAAGTCTTACGGCATTATTATAATGAATTTCTTTAGGAAAAAGGCTTTCAGCCATACTAACATACGAATACAAATACGATAAATTAGAAGACATTAAATACATACAGTAATTTGGATTTTGGAGAAGGAAGACATGTCAATTATGCCAACTCCCTCTCGACACGCAATGTATTCCTCCTTCATGAAGTCAAAGAACTTCGGTTTGTAGAAGCTCCCTGGAGGCATTTCAGGCGGAGGACCTTCTGCTGTGAAGGAGATAAAAATATTATTATTTTCCTTCTTCTGTGAAGCAAACACAACGTTTTCTTAAACAAAAGGAACATCTCAGACAGTTTGGGGAATATAATAAAGGGAATTTTAGCTCCTCGTTGAGTAGTTTTATTAAATTAGCACGATACTTTGAATTAATTAATGACCTAAAACACACCAGCATATTCTTCACAATATTAGCAATAAATAATCCATTTCCTATTTTGGTCTCAGAAAGATAGATTCACGTTGAAAGTGCTTTTTTGTAATTTTCCAATTTCGTCATAACTTATATGTCGCCGTAACCTTATGCTCATTTTCTAGATACGAAGCGCAGTTGAAGGCGCGTGAGGCCATTTGCGAACAGCGAGTGTCTCGCAATTCTGATGGCCGATTGATGAGGTCGTTCGAAGGTCGCGCGCAATAATGGGCCGTCATCATAAGCGCTCCAATCCCGCAACGTCACAGATTTCCGTTTTCCTCGTCTGCACCCGAAAGAAGTGGTTTGTCTTCGGCAATATATAGGCTTAATTAGCTCAGGGAATCAACTGGTGTCACTGCAGTGTTTCTAACCTGGAGGTCCTAGGGTTCCAGTCCCGACGGTTGGAGGATTTCCGAAACTAACTAACATAGCTAGATCAAATTCAGACAATGTCTGGAGAATTCTACAGGCCGGCTGTTCTGATCGGCGGTTTTCCGTGTTTTTTCCGACCAACACCAGGCGAATGCCGGAGCTTACACACGGTCCCCGCGCGATCTTTCCTTTCTCCTCCTGGACCTACCCTTACTTACAACTCCTTAAGCCATTAATGGGAAACACCTGGTTGGGGAGAACCCGGTAAGGTGACGTCGGTCGGAGCCGGATCTCACGCTATAAACATGCATAACACTTACGGGACTAATGACCTTAGCAGTTGACGTGCTCAGAATCAGCAATAAATCAATTCTTCGGCAATAGTTATCAATATAAACAGCACTCCAACTAAGATTAAGTACAATTTTTCAGACGTTATACAAGAGAATACATTAGTAAAATGCAGCGCAGAAAGAAGCACAAAAATGCATAAGAAACATTTGTTCATCTAACTAACAAGAAGAAGACGGTGGTGTGTTTTCTTGCCTGAAATAACGCACCCTGCCCACTAGCTCTCACACATTCAAATTCTGAAATATTTATGATTCACGTTCATTAACTATACTACTCAACGCTATGTTTGGAACAGGTTGTTGCTGTTTATATTACGAAACTAAACACAATGAGTTTCTCCGGTATATCCTCAAAAACATTTGATTAATATTTACTTCACTTACAAGAATATGTTGAATCAAAATAAAGCGGACGTTCGTATCCCATTCGCGTGCCAAAGACTGCCCCTCGTTGCTGAAGTAGACTGTACAACGGTGAGCATCGGAGCCCTCGAGCATGTTTGTATTCAGCTTGCATGGGGTACAGAACGCAATAATGCCTGCGAACAAGTAAACACATTTCTAGTATTTTGGTGGTCCACTCAACATTCCATAAAACATACTTAACACAAAAATACGTTTTCTTCATGTCATATATTCACTGTGCCCAAAACAATCGTGAGATTCGGTTATGGCAAACTAATGGTTACTGGAAATCCACATCACAACGAAGCTCATATTTCCTACTCTGATTCTGAATGATACAATCTGGATGACAATTGGATGGTTTGAGCAACCTTGTGAATTTTGGAGTAATAATACGAGGTTTTTGATATTTTCACTTTAGTAAACTTTCATGAGATCACTGTACCATGACATTTAACAATTTCGATGTCAAAATTATTTGAGTCGTCATTTCCAACAATATTGTTTATTATAAGTGCAGCTTTCGATGGCTTAGCCATCATCACTTTTCTCGTACAAGAAATAAAAAATGCATATGTTCAAATTCAATTTCATTCACTTTCTTGTAATATTATATGATTTAACATTCGCTTTCTTTCTTTCTTTCAGTTCTAAAAATGTCAATTATATTTTCTAAAATTTTAAATTATTAGTAATGAATTTATTCTAATTTGGTTTTTTGACTCGCGTTTTAATTTTTTTCTTGTACTAAAGAACTGATGGCTAAGCCATCGAAAGCTGCTCTTATAATAAACAATAGTGTTGGCAATAACGACTCATATAATTATTTCATTGTCAATGCCAACAAAAATTCACCACAACACCACTACAATTTTGGTGTCGATGACGATGAAGGTGTTGCACTTGTTTAACCTGAAGGTTCACCCAGAGGTAGAGGAGATTTAGCCCTGGCGCAGCCAGAATACCTCTCCTTTCGGGGATAGAGGTGCAGTGGTGGTGATTATGATCAGTGACAATGAAATTGTGGGTTGTGGGAACCCATTGAGCTCGGCAAGCGCCAGCTGCCAGTGGCGCTCCGCGATGGCACGAGTAGGAATTCACCAAGCCCAAGGCGGATGTCTTGGCCCGACATATTGGTTTGATTTTCGAACGTAACGCGATCCAAGTGATGGATTAGCGAGTGAGGCGAGCGGCCAATGCCGAAGTAAGTGAATCTGATAAAAAAACGCTTACTTCTCTAGAGTTCAAAATTAAAGCAACAAACAAATCGCAGTCCACGTCGCGCACAAGAGAACCGCAGTGACTGGAAAATCGCAACAGGCAATTGTGTCTAACGCAAAGAACGTAAGTCGAGCCCCAATGCATAGCAGTATGGAGTCCTCCGCAGTGCCGCACAGGCTCGGTTCAAATTCTTGGATCTCAATAAAATTTCGAATGAGCATGTTTGGGTCATTCCAAGAACATGGGGGAGGGAGATGAGCGTCAAAACTAATGAAGTTTGAAAATAATGGACACCTTATAAAATGATATATGCCCTCCCAGACCCAACTGCACTATTAAGTAAATTATATTATTGTACTATCTGTAGTTGGAGTTATGGTTAGTTTTACCAATATGAATGTCCGAGCAATTTCCAAGGTTAATCGATACCAGTTGCTAGTTCATTCTGTGAATTGATCTATATCATTTTGGATGTGCAGTGTGCACCTTCCTAATGTATTTGAGTGATTTATAAATTCCGTAAAATTATGGCAGGCATAAAAAATGCACAAGTCGAGGAAATTTGTATGAAAAGTAGGCAAAGAACCTTTGGTCTCGTAAATTTGATTTTGTATGTACGGGTAATAATATAATGTTCGAGTGCGAACAAAGAATTTGCAAAAACAACGTTTACATTTTACAAAACAATTACAATTTATTTACTAGGCTGTCCGGGTGACGCCGCGTCCATGGGGAAGGTGCCGACGTTTCGGTCGCCATTCTGCGACCTTCCTCAGGGCGTAATGCCTGAGGAAGGGCATGTCTCCCGGCATGTGTGGTAGTGTAGTTAGTGTAAGTGTGTGTGTACGGGATGAGGGAGGTCGCAGAATGGCGACCGAAACGTCGGCACCTTCGCCATGGACACGGCGTCACCCGGACAGCCTAGTAAATACTGACTCCGGCCGCGGAAGCCTACGCTCTCAATTACAATTTACATACAATTTACAAAACAAACGTTTTGCGATGGAAGAACTCCAGAATTTATTAGAAGCAGAAAGAAATAAGAAATTTTCTGTCATCGTTGCAACACGCTTACCGTCCAACCACCTCTTTGACTCGCTCTTCGAGGTAGTGTCTGTTGTTGTGGAGGTCGAGGAAGCGCTGCACACTGAACGGGAGCAACTCCGTCGTGGGCTCGCCCTCCACCAGCCACTCGGCCACGGCCCGGCCGATGCCCCCGGCGCCTTGCAGGGAATTGCCGTTCATGCCCACAGCCACGAAGTAGTTGTGTACCTGCAACACGCAGAAACAAAGCGCCTCCGTGAGCATATTGCATAGTTCGAGTTTACACTATTCGGTTTGATTGATTGTTTAGTGATTCCAGGCCAACTACCAGAGTCATTAGTCTCGGAAATATAATACGTGATTTTTGCTTGGGAGGTGGCGGTGACCGTTCCCCCGCTGTATGGCGAAATCTACCGTCGGCTAGCGGGGTTTTCCCAACCAGGTATCTCCCACCAGCGGGGCACTGTCCCAGCACACGCTCTAAGTTCCGGTCTCCCGGCACGAGTGGAAATGTAGTGCATGTTAGTGTAAGTGTGTGTGTGTAAGGGATGAGGACAGGACAAGGAAGAGGAAGGCGAGATCGCGCGCGGTCCGTGGCCCGTTTGTTAGAGTAGTGCTCCACCTTTCACCTGGTGTTGATCGGAGAAACCACGGTAAACTACCGATAAAAACATGCAGCCACTAGAATTCTCCTCCAGACAGCGACTGAATTCGACCTAGCTAACAAGCTAGTGTCGAAAATTCTGCCACCGTCGGGACTCGAACCTAGGACCTCCCGGTCAGGGGAACTGCAGTAATATCAATTGATGCCCTGAGCCGTAATAATAATAATAATAATAATAATAATAATAATAATAATAATGCCTTTATTAAGGGCAAGGCTCAGGCCATAGGGCCCGCTCTTCCGCCTAACCACTGGATTTCATACACATAGAGTAGTAACATTTTGAGAGGGGAGGACAAGCTGTAGAAGTCATCTCTTCCGGTACACTATTCGGTGTGTAAATGTTCATAATTTAGTAAAACTAATTGAAACTAACTTTATTCACAGCACTGAGGTAAAGTAAAAGCACCGAATAAAATGCGGAATGGAAGAGGAACATTGGAAACGTGCTTGGGAACTGTAAAAGAGGGGAAAGTTGAAGAAGGGAGACGGGAAGAAGGAACGAACGGTTGGTGTTGTTAGAGGGAAGAAACGATAGACTGGTTCATGGAATACAGAATATAATACAATAAGAGTTTCGTAAGATTAAACGATGATCATACGAAATCTCGAAGGAGTTTATTAGACAAAGTATGTATAGCGTTACGACTGGTCCAAGTGGTGAGCACGCTAGTACGAGTAGCGCCCTCATACTATAGAGAGATTACTCCAAGACGGAACCGCTCCGACAGCTACTGATGGACACATATCTGTAGGTAATGTCCATGTGCTCAATTCGTCAAAACATTCATTAGCTGGTGGATCACTTGAAAAGGGATTCGACACATCTTCCAGCTAAGTCATCAAACAACTTTACTTTCAATTGTTTTCCCACCGGTCAAATTGGTCCCTCCTGAGAGAAATTTCTCAATATTAGAACTTAGTGTCTTGTGAAAGCTAGAGCAATAATTTAACATCACAATTGAAAATATACTAATAATCCCTTGTAGTCCAGTCAAAAAGTTCAGCGGAAAAAATGGAAGTGTTTCTCTACCAGTCAGAATATTTTTGGGCACTGAACCTGGATTTCACCTTTGCCATTTCGTAATTGTGCGTGTTCGTCAAACTACAAAAAGCTCTTTTTCCAGTTTTCACTTCTGACTAAAAACACTTTTATAGAAATATGTTTAATGTTCACAAATGTTAACCATTAAAGTTGCTGTGATTTATGTCTCAAGAACTTGCGGTAAGACGAACGATATAGGCACTAGAGCACGTTAAATTGTGAAAAAATCGCAATCTGGCAAAAAATATGTTTCATATTATTTTGAAAAAATTCACTGTTAGAGAAAAGTTTCATTAGATGAACGATTTCTAGCGCCTAAATCGTCTGTCTGAAGGAAAATGTCCGATAGGAGGAACACTTTATCAACGTTTTGCGTCTTAGGCGATTAAAAACAGATTTTGGCAGAAGATAACGATTTTTTTCCTTCAATTTAACGCGTTCTAGCGCGCCTAAATCGTTTATCTGACGAAAAATACTTATGTGACTTATTACGTAGCAAAAGTATTGCTGTATAGTTGTGTACAGGAAAATCTTTCTATGAAAGTTCGCAGTTTCCATGGTCTAAGAGAAAAAGTGAAAAAGTGCGAATAAAATAAAAATGCATCATTACTAAACACTACAAAACGAAAGAAATATTCGGTTGTTTGAACATTGCCTTGCGATGGAGTCATACGTTTATAAAATAACTTATAAGAAATATGAACAATAAAAGAAACGTTCCTGGAAACTTTAATCCACTCAACCTGCACGTAACACAAACCATATGCATGCGTTCGTAGTACATCAGACCTACAGCAGCTTGCTGGCCGCTTGGAGGCGCGCCAAAAATCCACTCCAAGCTGCGGGACCGTGTCAATAGACTGTGCTTTACCCTGAATTCTGTACGCAATTACGTAAATATGGCTTTTCCGCATTAAATGAATAAAAAAGTAATAAGTATAACATCTCACCTCCGGCGTTTCTCCCAAAATCCACTTGCCATCGGGAGTGAAATTGTCCGGTGAATTGGTGAGCAAAGGACTGGTAGCCTCCGCCAGCAGAGGAAAGCGATGGACAGCCTTTTCCCAGAGAGGCTTGAAGTGAGTCCAGTCCTGCTGGAGGCACTGTCGCCACTCGTCCGGGATTCGCGCGCCGCCGAACGAAGGCTTTGCTTCCAGTTCAAAAGCGCCCACCATGAATCCACCTTCCCATTCTCGGGCGTACGTGTGCGAGTCGTAGTCGCGCACACACGGCAACCAAGGGTCGACGGCTTCTCCAGGAAGGGCTGCAGTCACGTAAAAGTGGTCCGCTGGCATGGCCGGAATGCGCACCCGCGGCCTGCACTGCAGCCCCAATTCTCGTGCCCACTGTCACAAAAACAAGACATATAACGTTATTTAAGAGAGGCCCGCCCCTTCTCGAGAAATCGAACGCTCTCACCGGCAAAGGTGGCTCAGGGCATCAACTGATGCCACTGCAGTCCCTCTGACCGGGAGGTTCGAGTCCTCTCAGTCGCGAGATCTTAGACGTTAGCTTGTCAGCTAGGTCGAGTTCAGTCGCTGTCTGGAGGAAAATTTAGTGGCCAGCTGTCCTTATCGGTAGTTTTCCGTGGTTTCTCCGATCAACAGCAGGCGAATGCCGGAGCAGTACACTAACAAACGGGCCACGGACTGCGCGCGATCTTTCCTTCTTCTTCCTTGTCCTATGCTCGCCCCTTACACACACTTACACCAATGTGCACTACACTACCACACATGTCGGGAGACCAATAGAGACCTTAGAGCTTGTCCTAGGTGGTGCGGTACCCTGCAGTTGGGAGATACCTCGAGATGGAAAAACCTGATAGCCGACGAGTAAGTCGGCACCAGATCTCGCCATACTGCTGAGAAAGACCAACGTCCAATGCAAAAACATGCACTACAATTACAGGACTTGTTGGCGTGCCCGGAACCACTAACAATCAATAAATTAATTAAGCCAACGCTCTCCATTGCTCCCGCTCCGCTCGTGAGCTGGAGGGGATATTTCGCGCGAAGAAGGGGTACGGAAATAAAGAGGCAGGGCCCCCAGACTCCCCAGAGAAAGGGCAACGATAAGTCGCGCGCGCCCTGCTTCGCGTGCCGGTGACATGTTCACAGAGCGGAAACAGCGAAGCGGGCGCAATAAACGCGTTGCTGTACCAACATCGATGGAGACGAACTTTAGCGCCGCCCCGCAGGGCTCGAGCGCACTGGTGGTTCGTACTGTAGATCCATTCCCGCCCAGTACCGGAAATTTGCGTGAAACGTTTTGTACCAGGAGGTTGTGGCACCTTCCGGGATTCAAGTCATAGGCCCTTGATCAGTGGTTTCCTTGACTAGGTCCACGCATTTGCCGGAGCAAAACCCTAGAATATGGCCCGTGCACCAAGCGTCATTCTTCTTTTCCCGTCCCTGTCCCCATCCTTAGTGCCGAGCGATTGGCTGATCTCTTTTCTTCGAAAGGCCCGTCCCCGCTGATCTAGAACAATCTCCCTTTAGTGTCGGTTATTGGCCAAGGCAGAACTAAAAGTGCTGTTAAGTCATGAAAGAAGAAACGCCAATTTTTGAAATCTCTTTTATTCGAAATACAAATTAAATAAACCATTTTCAAAAAACCAAAATTTTGAAATTTCTTGAAGTAACGTTCAATTACTCTGACTGAAACTAATTGCGCCCGATATAACTACCTATTCTGCATTTATTTTACATTTCCTCCGTATACATCCTTTGCTTGCTGCTCTCACTTTTAACAATACCCTCCAATTTTATTTCGTTACGCCAGATTTTTGGGAAGATTTAATATATATGCTAATAAAAATTGCTCACAAATATACTGCGAACCACTTGTAGAAGCAAAACTAGCTGTGAATGTGCGAAGCAAAGTATGTTTTGTGCTCGAGAACTTACATTGAAACCAAACAAGTTTTTGAATAATGTTTTAAATTCGTGTCAGTCTGCAAATACTATACAACTTCATACAGCTATGGTTATGGTTTACAATGTCCACATCCAAACGATTCACAAGTTCAAAACTTGTACCTTACATTCAAAAAACGTATTATATTACCAGGCGCGGATCCACGGGGACTGAACTCCCCGAAAATTTTTCAGTAACTATTAATTTTAAGTTGTCACGATACTTTCAAGCAAAACTATTTCCGGATAGTCATTAAAACAAATAAAATCGTAGCACAACTGGAGCTGAATGTAGCCTGACATTTTACAAAATCTGTAATATGACACATTGAACGAAAATATTTTTAATTTCCCCTCCCAAAATTTGTCTCCGGATCCTCTCCTGATATTACTTTCCAATTAGGTTCGCGCGCACTGTCGCTTTGAATGCCAACGAAGGCCGGGGAGCTAAAGATAGCCCGTGGTGCCCCTGATGTATAATGCACTGCAGAGCCCAGTTTAGCCGATCGTTGAAGGTGAACAACAGTCTCAGCGCCCCCCTCCCGCAGCCCCTGCTGTAGCGACCACCCTTCCCTGACGCACAGTGGGCACATTCGAGCATCCAGCTCGTAAAAACTACTTTCTGGAGAACTATTACAAACGTTTGGATGAAATTGGTGTGGTCATCACTTATAGGTTAATTTTTGAGGGGTGACTTGTGCTTTCAATGCTATTGTTACTTCAACATTTTTTAAAAATATATTACATAGGCTACGAAGTACACAACATATCAAACTGTCCACAATATGTGAGGAAACTCCTATCATGCACGATTTTCGCTTTATAAGTAGCATTTAATTTATATTTATGAATTAAATAAAATATTCATTAATTATAATAGTTTAATTTGAACGTGTCTATTTAATTTTCTTATATTTTATATTATGTATGATTTTATATTATTTCTTCAATTTTGCTAATAATAGGAAACAAGTCCAATCTGCATCTGGTTTTATGTTATATTTCCATTGATCTATTGAGCAACTGAGAAGTGCGTAATTTGAGTTTTTCATGTATTTTGAATCAATAAGAATTTCATCATAATCTCCTTCCGTACTGATTAGATGATATTAGAAGTCTGTGAAGCAGATCGAGATTTATACTTGATAACTTCCTGGTGAAAATTTCCCTGAATCTCCCATTGTCTTTATTCCTGGCCTCTTCAGAAATTTCTCCGAATGGAAATTCCCTTGAGTTGGTTATAACGTAAATATGTGCACAAAAATTTTGTCACAGGCAAGTGAAACCAATTGTATTTTTTATTATAGCTCTATAGTATTTTCAATGTAATTTCTAAATGCTTGCACGTCAATGGCATAACCGGATGAGAGTGTTTTTTGTATATACCTAAAATAACTTAACAAATTTTCGGTAATTCACAAATTACCTCCATTTACATCATCTGAGAACAAATAACTTTGAGAATACTTAAAACAATCATAAGACGAGTCTTGTAAAGTTTTGTCTTGTTTTTAGTAACATACTTCACCACTTTGCGTTGTGCAAAGCAGGATCTCGCTTCATGGCAAACAAATCGCGTCTTCGGATGGACTGAATCTTTTACGGAAATTATTTTCTGGAAAAGCGGCAACTCCTGGCAGCAAGAACTAACTATATAATTTAAAGGAATAATAAAACAATGCATCTGTGGTAATTTTACGGTGCATCTCAGTGTACCGCTTTTTAATTTCTCGACAAAAAAAATCAAATAATTTTATGAAAGCATTAGCACGTTACGTTTATATACACTTCTAAATATGTTCTGTATTCAGTCTAAGTTCATAAAAATGAAACTTTCACAGTAAAGTACATTTCTTAAACTACAATATTAAGCAAAGATTTGAATATTCCTGCAACAAACACACTGAGGGACTTTGAATATTTGGCTGTCCGGGTTGAGCCGCGTCTCAGTCGATTGAGCTCACGTTTCGGCCATCGTGTTGTGGCCTTCTTCAGAGCTATACTGAAGAAGGCCGCAACACGATGGCGGAAACGTCAACTCGATCGACTGAGACGCGGCTCATTTCGGACAGCCAAGTCTCCAATGACTCCGGCCGCGGAAGCCTACGAACACACTCACACTGGGGGACGACATAAACGAGGGCACTGTGAAATTCCAGAGAGGGAGCACTCCGAAACCCGAACACTTGAAGAGCTTCAACGACCATTACGCGAACCCAAACATTAAACGAACTACCTTGCTACCAGGGGCGGATACAGCCGATCATTGGGGGAGGGGGGGGCATCGATTTTATTAAATAATTAACATTATTTATTATATTATTGTGTAGTGAATATATGACTAAATAATTACATAATTCGAACGTAAATGAACATTTAATTCAATGTTTCCAAATAAAGGAAGGCAACACATGAAAACTCTAGGCCGCTTGGAGAGGGCATGTCCCTCATGTACGGATTCGTAGAATACATTGCACGACTTAGAAACGTCAGGAACTTAGTCAAAATATGATTTTTTACGAGCTAGATGCCCGAAATTACACACTGTGCAACGCTACGCATTTCTGGACTTGCCGTTGCTTAGCGAACGAAGCAAATGATTTACTATTTTCTAAACAAGTTATAAAGAAAGAGCGTAGGCTTCCGCGGCCGGAGTCAGTATTTACTAGGCTGTCCGGGTGACGCCGCGTCCCTGGCGAAGGTGCCGACGTTTCGGTCGCCATTCTGCGACCTTCCTCTGGAAGTAATGCCCTGATTACTGCATTACGTCCTGAGGAAGGTCGGAGAATGGCGACCGAAACGTCGGCACCTTCGCCGTGGACGCGGCGTCACCCGGACAGCCAAGTAAATACTAAGTTATACAGAGCACTTGAACCAGGAAAAAAAAAGAAAGAAAGAAAGAAAGAAATACCCACCATGCCAGCACAGTTAACGAAATATTCGCAGAGAATAGTTCCCAAATTCGTTTGTATGCCCTTCACACGGGCATTCTCAGTCAACACCTGCATCACTTTGCATTTTTCCACATAGCGAGCACCTGCAACAAACATTTAAATAATAATGCATCTGAATAAAATATTATTTTTTCACAAAATGACTGTATTGTACTAGACTAAAAATGAATATGAATACTTAAAACTTGAAAATTATCTCATTATAAATAATATAGTACTTATTTAACTTTAGGTCATATTTTTATCATACATTTTTCAACGTCGAAAAATAAATTCATTCTCTTATGAAACAGATAAAAACTGAGAAACTTTATATCAATTCAAGTATTTGGAACAATAGGTAGAAGAAGAAAATGAACATATTCTGGAAGATATTATAAAAATAAATGGGATATCATTAAATACACGTAAATTGAAAACATTGCATATTTACTACGTTGTAAGTTTTCTCCAAGAAACGTACTGCAATGGTAATGCACTTAATGAAACAAGAGAACGTGCCATATGGATCTATTCACAAAAGCAAAGATTTCTATTGTGAATTTGTGTCAAGTGTTTGAGCCGGCCTAGATGCAATTGCGCACCTCGGTGGGTGAGGGGTTAGGTTACTGGCCTCTGAATTCCCAGTGCGCGGATCCCGGCCAAGGTGCAAGGATTTTCGAAGAACGGAAAATCCACAGTTGCCATGCCACTCTTACGGCATGTAAAAGAACCCTGGCCCATGATCGGCACAATTAAATCCCTCCGATAATATCCCGCCCTAACGAAATCACACATTCTCCCAAACAGATAGTAAGGATATATACTACGACTTAATTACTCGTGCACTTCACGTAAATCCGCTGTTGCGGTTTCAGCCAAATTGGGAGCCGCCTATATGTCGCTACGGTGACGTCACTATGGGGACGTTCAAGCTCCCGATTGGATGAAACCGCGAACAGCTGATTTAGGTCAAATGCACGGTTAAATAAATCCTAGAATAGATAACTGAAGCCGACATCTTGCGGAGAAATTGAGTCACACCCCAGGCGTATCGGGGGACCGCCCGCTAGGCGCACCTTCTCGATAGGTCCCCAGACCCGAGTCGGAGGTAGACTTCTAAGGAAGCCTGGGTCGAAAAAGAGGATGGCATCAAACTGCTTTGAATATCCTCTTAGGGGGATCACAAAGGATAGCATGCGATATAAATATTACTACTAGGTACAACTGGCTAGAGCCGCTGGTGGTGGGGAAGGAAGATGTTGACCAGGGTCAAGGTTGATGCCACCAGCGGATGGCATCTGATCATGCCACTTTAATTATCATACATTTTAATAGTCTACACAAAAAACTGAATACGCATTGTTTTACTGTGCTATAATTTATTTTCACTTCCTGCATTTACAAGAGGGGGATGTTGTCGCAAGCGTTACGGAATTATTTAGGAGTGTTCAATTGCGCGTTACAGGGAAGAGAGGGCATTCAAAATACTCTAAATTTACAGTACGTAATTTATGGACGGCCTAAAGGATAGAGAGACATTTATATAATAGTATATTCTTCAGCGAGCGTATAATGATGGTTAATATTCACGAGTTGATGTTTTCGACACGAGTGACGTGGGAGTGAGTGTCATGATTTCAAAAAGAAAAAGATGTGCACGTCTATTGAATGCACAAAGCAAGTTTAAAATTGCCCATTTCAGCAATTAAACGCACGAATTAAAACCGCGATTCGCCTACCATTTGTATGTCCAGCTACACACTAATGGGTTAATAGAGCTAATTATACGTACTTTTTGGTACAACTTCCCTTTTCGGCACGGGGACACCACACAACCTTGGTCGTCGACGTCTTTCCGCCTACCAAACACACAGGATTTTCCAAAAATACTCGTTCAACTAATGTAGTACTGTTTCTAATAGTTATTAACATTGACGTTACTGCTAAAAAAATATCTGCGAACATCTCGCTACTAAAAAACTACTCCTATAACGCATGAAGTGACCTCCATCGCACCCAAACTCGTTATCTGCTTTCTTCCTATTCTCAGAAATCATACGCATCGCTAATTGGACACGCTTGGCATTCGGTTCAATCAGAGGCGGATCCAGCCGATTTGGGAGGGAGGTATCATAGATTTTTGTTAAATAAAAAAAACATTATTTTTATTATTTTTTATATTATTTTTAGTGAAAATATGATACTATACAATATTATTTTTTAAATAATTACATAATTCCAACATAAATATTTAAATTCATTTTTCCAAATAAAAGGGAAGTAACAAACGAAAAATCTAGGACTTTTGGGTGAGTGGGCATGGCCCACGTGCCCCCGCACCACCGCACCCTCGATCCACCTCTGGGTTCAATCTTATTAGCGACGATTTCAAGTTAGAAAAACATTGGAAGAACGTGCGCGTGGCGTATCAAGTAGAGCTGCTTCTTCGCCACTGAGCGTCAATCCAATTGCTTATTCACCTACAAGCTCCGTTAAGTTAATTGGCTAATCCAGTTAATTTAATGTCATTAATGTTAGGTTAACTGTGGTTGCTAGTGATTGGCTAATCTAGTTAATTTGGGTAAATTAGTTTTCTTTTTCGTCTAATTCATTTCTCAAATAAATATTTTTCCGTTCAATAAGTAGCATTTTATATTCAACCACTCTGGCAACTTCATATCTCGGCGGTGTTTAATTATTCGACCGTCCATGTCTATAAAATACTAATTAACTTTAAAAATATATGGTAAAGATTTTACATTCTTGTATATATATATATATATATATATATATATATATATATATATATATATATATATATATATATATATATATATACACACACACACATATTCGGAGTAATCTACGCAGTGTAGGAGAAAGTTATTACTATTGTAGAAAATTAGAGTCGAGATTTTAATGGAAATGCACGTTTTGAGGTCCCCTGATCACGAAAAGGAGTTGTTTATTTTCTCCAAAAAGTCTGTCAACAACATTAGCGCCTTCATTCACATGATGTTTTCCAAAATGAATATCCCATGATGCAACGTTTGAACAGACAGAATGCACTGAATAACATATATCCCATCCCTAGCTCCAGGGCCAGGAAGACCTGTGGTAAGCAGTCAATCCCTTACACCAAGAATTTGACATTCTCTGCCTGAGAGAAAATTTCACATCGTCACACTGCTACACGTACTGGGGTATAGTGAAATGCGAACATTAATTTTTGCCGCGTTCGGGAATCTAAATCCGGGTTCGCGACAAGCGAGCTGACTATGAGCCACGGAGGATTTCAATTCCACATTAAGGGTCCGAAAAAGCACAGAAAATGTGGAAAAAAAATGTTACGTGTTTTTTAGTAAAACAATTACCTAAATACAAATATTACCTGAAAGTAAAATAAGCCATTGGGTTAACTGACTCGTGATGGAAATATTGCGTTCTATAACATTTTTTGTAGTTAATTACCATGTAACTGTTCATTACTGAACGCGACGTTTATATATTTTAATGCTAAAGTAACTTTGTTTTTGCATTTTTGTTATGGAAACGAATGGTGTCAAAGACACTGAAATACATAGATTCAATACTACGAAGCACATTGAGGTACGCTTAAGAATAAAAAAAAATAGTTTTAGTTGTGTTTTATGAAATTACATTACAAAACGTTAATACGCTTACACGTACACGATCAAATGATTCGGCCTCATTAAACATGGACTTGGGGTAGATAAGACTAAGTACGCCGCCACTGCGGCCGTGGGTTCGAAACTCGCGTAAAGCGGTCTCTATACGGCCAATATTTACGTAAATATATTGTATAACAATATTGCTGGGCCAACTCACGTGACGCAATGTTTTGCTCAATAAATTAGTTATCCGCTGACACTTCTTCAGTCAACACGTGGAATAATAAGAACACAAGTTTTGGGGACATTGCTTAACTAATAGTTTTAAAAAAATAGAAAAAGAAGCGCACGTGGATAAAGAAATGGTTCAAGAAAAGAAATTAATACACTCATGAAAATTTATTAACTGAACAAAGTTGGTGAACCAAATGATTTTCAAAACTTTCTGCAACTAGGTATGCCAATATTATTAGATGAACTGTTGAAAATGGTTATATCTGAAACCTCTATCCTGTTTGGTCTCGTAGCTATTTAAGTAACGTTCACTCTACATTGTGAAGCTACAATTTAAAAAGTGGTCACAGACAACACAATATTTTCTAGATTGCACAATAAAAATCAAACACATTTTGATTGAATCAATATATTGCGCTATTTTTCAGTATGATCTACTGACGGTCAATATTATTGCGCAATATATATTATTGTGCAATACATTGTCGTAAATATTGACACTAGGGGCCGCTTAAAGTTTGCTGTGTGTGTGGCGTGCGGGATACAATCAGTCCTATGAGTATCACATCAATACCCTAATCCTTCCATGTATTAGCCTGACCGGTAACCGTTTCTGAAATTTTTGTGCATTCTATATAATTGAAGAACTGACTCCCTACATTCAAAAGAGTGGAATTGTATCGAGATGAGACCATGGGCAAATATGTGGTGAGAAGTCCTGGTATACTTCGATTTAATAATTAAGTTCGTTGACGTTTAATCAGCTATCACGGTCATCCAATCGCGAGCATAAAAGTCACTACAGTAGTGCCATTTAAGCTCCCGATTGCATGACACATAACAGCTGATTTACGTCAAATGACTCTATGACAACGGATGTTTAAATATCTTCTAGGCGCCGATAGATGGTAGCTGGGAAGAGGGTAGGGGCAGGACCGTAAAACTCGCCCCGACTCAAGGAAACTGGCTTATGCCATTTTGTACAACCATTAATTAATTTAATTAACCATTAACCAACCAACCATTAATTTCTTCCATTTCTTCTTCCTCTTCTTGTTTTTTCTCCTTCCTGCGCCCTTTTTTTATTTCGATTTGATTGGATTGTTCGCAATTTGAACATTTAAACACAATTTGAATATGATAATTAATGATTTGATTGTGGTAACTTCAATTGGAATATGATTGGTCTCAATTTGAAGTTGATAAGGTACGTGTATATAGACGAAGCATTGAACAAGCTCAAAAGAACGAGGTAATTCATTTAGTTTGGCACGCAGGGAAGTTTATAAATATAACGTGTTCAAAACGAAAAGATTTAGACAATATACAAATATAAAATGCACTATTTTATTTAAAGAACAGAAAATCACCAATACAAACATACAGGTATACGTACTTACACACATGCGTAAATAAGATACAATAAAATATAATACAATAAACAACAAAAGCAAGATGGAAATCAAGGCAAGCTCATTGTAAAAGTTAACAGGAAGATGCACTTCCAGAGACAGGTAAGTTTACCCACAAAAATGTCATTGACCACAATAATAATAATAATAATAATAATAATAATAATAATGATAATAATAGTAATTACTCTTTAAATTAAAACAAGTGTTCAAATAGCACATACTTTCTCGCATTGTTTCTAACTTATGCAATTTCCGAAAATTTAGAGTTCAACAAAAATGAGATCTGCACCATTCTTTCAAGTGAACCTTCTTCTATTTGTGGTAAAGATTAGGAGTGATATTTGAGAAAATATTTTTTTAAATAATTTGTATTAAATTCAAGCTGAAACGGTGCAAAAAGTACTCGTTTTCTCAAAAAATTGAACATGACCTTTCTAAAATATTTTTTTCCTTTTCAAATTTCGTTCAAAAAAACAATCTTTAAAATTGTAGTTTTGGAATGTTGACTTTTTGCAACATTTGAAAATACAAAGCTCACCAGAAATGTGATTAGAGCCAACTTTTTTACCATTCTTTGCTACATTCAAGGAGAAAATTTAAAGAAAAAATTGGGACCGGTTTTGAAAAAATAAATGTTTGAAAATTGTTTATTTTTCATGCAATAATATGTGGAGTCTGTTCGTATTTTCAAAAAATTAACATTCTCTGAAGATCTGTCTTTAGAGAACAGATTTCATTCAAGTGTTGACCACATACACAGACATGTTGTGGTCAATCGATTTTGTGGTATTAAGGACCTACTGACTGTACGATGTGTTAAGAGGAAGTAATTTACTATCAATAGGAACAAGATTCACACACTTTTTCTTTTAGGTCCAGCAATAACAGTTTTGCTGTCAAAAATATGAAATTTTTAGTTAAAAATGTCAAAAGAACTACACTAAATAAGACACTGGAAATGTTTTTTAACACCATTTCCTTCTAACATTGTTTCAAAAATCTGCACAGAGAAAACCAAGAAAAAACTACAATGCAACTTAAAACTCAAAGAAAAGGAACATCATTTGGTGATCTGTCATAGAATACACTTACAACATTAATTGATTTCATCAATCCAATTGTTCTGGACCATACGTCTTTAAAGTATCATGAATAATTTTGGAGACCTTGTATTTTAATTAGCATTACATGGTTAACACAAGTTTGTAACTAAATACTTAATACTGGATTTGTTTACTCATACTAGTTATGATAAAAAAAAAAAAAACACCTGTCTGGCTTTAAAATGACGTTCCGTTTGATATGTTCGTAACTGTTTATTTAATTGAAATATTCTTGGATATCTGCAATATTCTGTTTAAATTAGTTCTCAACTTATTTGAATATTAATTTAGCTTTGTTTACTGGACAGATGAATTCCTTTCAATACTTTGTGTGTTGATTTAGACATTTTTATCTTTTAACCTTTTTTGACATTTACTATTTTTTTAAATGTTTCATGTACTCCTTATTATGTTTACTTACATACTAGTGCCTGAAGATGTGGACAATTTGGCCATGAAACATTGTGAATTGTGTTATGAACAAATATTTCATTTTTTGATATTGTCTTTCACTGCATGGGAACAACTTATTTCAATATCTAATCAACCTTTAATTTCTTTTTCCATATTATTCTACAACATACATATGAGTACTTACCTCCTTCCTTGGCCAGTTTGGCTAAGGCTTCGCACACAGCAAGAGGTTTTGCCACTGCATCTTCTGGAACCCAAATAGCTCCCTCCAAATCACTGGTGTGCAGATAAGGATGCAGGCGAACCAAATCACTGCTACCAACAACCTATTTAGTAAAATATGACAAATATACACTAAATACTGAAAGACATCTTTGGGCAGAATAGAAAACCTGAATGAACTTTAATATCACCTCGCAATGAAGTCCAGTTGCTTGATGATAGGCCATTCTTCGCTTCAGTGCTACCATTCTGTCTTTTGTTTGAGCTAAGTTCACACTGCCACATTGTTTGAAACCTTTCAAGATGAAAGAATTGGTAAATTGTTATGTAATTAATAATATTTTCCAAAATTGGATATACTGTGCCTTGTTCTTACCTATGTCATATCCCATTTCCTGTAATTGTCTATATAACTTAATACTGTACATAACAAGATTTCGATCAGCAATTGGCTTGAAAAGACCCAAAGTTCCAGATCCAAAGTTAGATGTTCCACTCCCAATCCTAAACATTGTGTACATGGTTAAATCAAGTTATGTCTTATAAAGAAGTTAACAGTATACAAGTCAGTTAGTACTCACTTCTCTTGTTCCAGTACCACAATGTCATTCCATCCATTCTGTACCAAATGATAAGCCACAGAATTAGCGACAGTTCCTGCTCCACAAATCACAACTTGGGCTTGTTTGGGGAGGATTGTATCATTTCCAGTGGAACTACTTTTCAAATAAGTTCTTACACATTGGTTGTGCAGAGAACAATTTTTATCAGCCTCATTTTCTTTTGTGAAGCAGCCAGAAAATGCCCTTTCATGAGAACTTGATTTGGTGTAAAATTTAAATGAATGATGATGTTTTAATATTCTACCCAGATGGGCACATTTAGGGCACACAGAAATCATTTTTCTTCTACACAATGTTTAACCTTCAAATTATTTATGGGTAAAACACTGCTCCCACGACACAAGACTATGCTAAACGACTTTTTAAAAAATAACAAAAATCAAGAATGAGGGCACTGAAAACATTAATATATTTTTACTTTTCATTTCATTTCACTATTTAATGTAATTTCAAAAACTAAGAATATGCGCAATTTGCCATCTTTAAATCCCCGGTGTACAGGAGCGATTATGTTAATCGAACGAATGGATGGGTAATATCGATATAAACATCGATTTTTAATTGAAAAGTGACAGATGACTGAGGTCGTGTGAGCAGGTGTGATGAATTTTTTGCGCTGTTCTTTGCATTAACACATTTTAATGACATTAGAAACAATGATGTAAGCGATAAGTCGAATTAACAATCCAAATTAACATAGCATATTTTAATTTTGTATCAAGTTGCTTATTGTTCACAATTCAAGTTGGTATTTATATCAAATCACCATCCAGGCCAGTGTCTCCTGTCAAGAAATAGGAAAAGCGAACTACGGAATCTATTGCACTCATTGTAATTCAATCTGTTATCGAGACTGATCGTCATAGAGTACTTGATGAAAAAAGTGTATTGTTATTTTTCGAACTTGGTGTCAGATGGAGCTGAAGTCATAGAATAGGTTTCTTGTTAAATTAGTTTTAACTTTAGTTTGAGGGAGGAGGGACGTTGTCAAAAAGGCATTATTCTAGTTATGCCTTTTCAGAAGAGAGATGAAGCTCTGTGGTGGCACAGGATGTTGTACATTTTTCTAGTCATCTTATTCCAGAAACCAGGTAAAAGAATGCCCTTTTTTCATTTGTTGTATTATTTTCTGTGAGATGTTGGTAGGCAAAACAAAGGTACTTGTAAACCTCTATACACCTTTTGCAAAACGTTGTTTTCAGTTATTTTGCATGCTGAAGGAGTAGAGTGTGAGCACCGAAGTGAAGTGTGTCATTCAGTTATTAGAGAGAGGCATGGCTACATCACCAGTCCATTCTATCCATCTCAGTATCCAAATCACACATGTTGCTCATGGACATTTGATATTTCTGCTGGGAACATTCTGATATTGAGGTATTTTTTATTTATTTAGTTTCTATAGTCTGTTGTAAATTTAAAGGAAGTGTATAAACATCATAGACTCAAACTTTTGTGTAAAAAATAGGCAAGCCTCCAAGTGAAATATCAAAATCACTTAGATATTGTTAACAAATGATAATCTAAATACCTGAAATTTGATTTATTGATAGTAGCCACTGTTCAATAAAGGTTAATTAATTGTACAGTTACACTTTGAGTTTGGTTGCATTCTTTATATCCCTTTCCCTTGTTTTCATCTCATTAAAATTGAATAATGTAAGTATTTTTCAAATCTACTGCAAGAAGTTAATTGACAATCAAAAATTTCAAAGTGGCTATTGTAACCCAATTGTTTTTCTTAATAAGTCATTTGAAATTGTAGATTTATCAATATCATGTTAGTTTCATTAAGCTATTTACTATAATTATTGGTTGTCTTGAATGAAAACTTTGGATGTGTCTGAAAAGTCACGTTTGTGTTTCAACATAACATTCATATCTAGGATTCAAGATTTGGATATAGAAGAAGACCCTGGCTGTAAATTAATGTCCTGTTGTCGTCACTCGTGGCTGTCTCTACCCCTGAAGGATGGTGGTTCTCAGAAGATATGTGGTCTTAATGGTGGACGCAAGTTGCTGACTGTTTTACCTCCAAAGGCTATAGTCAAATTTTATACATCCAAAGTGATAAAAGGTGGACGCGGCTTCAACCTCTCTTACTCTATTGGTAAGTTGTGATTTTGGCCACAGTAGGGTTTGCCCAAAAAGGGATTCTGCAAAAGGTAGTAAACAATTAATGAATCACATAAAATAACATCATTCTTAAGGGTATACTGGTATTCTCATATATAAATGATGTGCACAAAAAAAATATTTTGGTACAAATTTTTCTTTTTTTTAAATTTTGGATTAGAAGAACTGAAAATTTTAAAAAATATGTAAAAGTATTGTGTAGTTTGAGGTATATTTATATTACACATAGGTGTGTGTATTTGTGTTTCTGCAAATGAAGCTTCTGAGACCTTGAAGGAGAGTGGTCTCATAGGTTCAAGTTCCAACAGTGGTGAATATTCTATAATAATATATTTTTAAGGCTTTTCCATTTGTCAGCTTTTGCTCTTTTTTGATTCCCTAATATTTACATGGCAAATGTATTTCTTGATATAATGCAATTGTGGTCACACAAGTTTTAAGTTACTCGTAATGAAGTTCTTTGAAATCTGAAGTATTTGAGTATAAGTGAACCAAAAAAGGTGTATTTCCATAAACCCTGGAATTTTATTAAACATATGTTCTATGAAATGGGGTTTTACTTTTCTATAATATTTCAATAGTCTCATTTCTATTAAACAATTAAGGGGTCTTAATAAAAAAAGAAAACATGAAAAATGTGGATTTTTATCAAACACAAAAAAATTAAATATCAATACAGAACTGAAATGTTATAAACCATTATGTTAATTGATTCTCTAAATAATGTGTACTAAAAAATTTGTGTTTAGTGTGTGAATTTCAAGTAATTATATTATATGAAATAGCCTTAAAATTATGGGTGCTACAAATATGTACTCTTATTATTTGTAATGGATACATAATATTATATTATTGCGAATTGTATCCTACTAATTATTCAGCTATCTTTATTAGGTGCTATCTTTATTACAACATGCCTTTTGGCACAAAAGCATGCAGGATTCAAGTTTGCAATTTTTGAATGTATGCAATTTTTTAACATTAACAGGTTTTGATAAAAATTTGTCTTTAACCATATTTGTAAGCACATTTTTACTCTACTCAAAGAATTTTTTTTCTCCCTGCAAATTGCAGGAATCAAACTCTGGCCTTCTTATTTACTTATGAAAATTGTAGCCACTATTTAATTTCTAGCTGCAGGAAGCTGGCTAAATGGGCATTGTAGAATGTAACAAAAGAATCATTACTTAACTCAAAATTACTCCGTAATATTCAGGAATAGAATCTAATATTCAGGAATAGATTGCACTAACTGGATCCATGGAAATGTTCCACAATTTGTAAATCATTTGTAAAAGTGAATACAACTTCATACTAGCTAACTTTAAAACAGCAGCCCTTCAAATGTGCATTACAGCATTGCATATCTAGAAGTACGAATGAGTAAATATTACAGCATTCCTAAGTGTTGAGATCAAATTTCATAAAAAATTAAATAGTCACTTCAATTTTATCATGGAAAATTATTTGTAACTCCTTCTAAGATTTTGTATTAATGCTTATATCTGGCCACCCATTCTTTGGAGAATGGATCCACAGAAGAGCTAAATTTCCAGTGCTACTCAGGTCCCACTTGCCTCCACTGAACCTCTCAAAACTTATCTGGCCCAATCTCTATCCCCTTTAGGGACACAAAAACCTGGTTTTAAGAGCCCAGGATGCTTTGATTCTGAGTTATGTGGAATTTTTATGCATGTTGCTGTAATCTGTTCCTTTTTACTTTCTCATATACACACACACATATATATATATATATATATA